GGGGGGGGGACACACACACACACACACATCGGCCACTAACCGTCCGCGGGGGTAGAGGTTGCCCACCCGGTGGTGTGTGTGTGTGAGGGTGGTCGTCGGGGTGGTGGGGACGCTGCTTCCTCCCCCGCCTCCCCTATCCCCGTCGAGCAGTCGTGGTGGCGGTGGCGCCCAGCCTGCGGGTCGGTCGCGCGCCCTGCAACCGCCTTGTGCTCTCATATTGTAAGTCAAGGCGAGAAGAGCAAGGTTTTACACACATTCGCTCACATTCACACTCACGCACACACTCTCACACTCGCGCTGTCGTGGAGCTGACCCTGTTTTGCCGTGGTATGTGCGTGTGAACTCACTGCCAGGACTGGCTCCTCCGCAACGCCTTCTCCCCCCCCCCCACCTCTCTCTCACACACGCGGGTACATAAACACTGTTACACGCTGGGCAATAAGAGACACCACCCTCACCTCGCTCTGCTTAGCGTTGCGACATTTTTTTCACGCCTCAGGAATGCAAGCGGGCTCGCGATGTGCAGTCATTAGACGCCAGATTTGTCTCTCGGCCGTTTTACTAAGTAAAAAAAGAAGACGCAGTAAATACGAGTGTTGGGCTGGTGCTCGCTGCTGCGCGGAGGGGGGAGGTAGGGGTAGGGGTGAGGGAGGGCGCCGGGGAGAGTCTCCTCTGCTTCTCTCTCCCTCTGCTCTTCCCAGCGGAAGAGTGTGTATTAACTATCATCACCGGTCCTAGTAAACTTGTCGCGGTCCTCAATGGCGGGGCGCGGCGGCTCGGTGGCGAGGCTTGGGCCCCGTCCAAGTGAGTGACCGCCAGTCGAGGGGAGGAAGGAGGAGAAGGGGAAGAGGGGGGGTCGCCTGATGTTGGGGTGTTACTGCCGAGCTTCGGGCGAAACGTCAGCGCCAATTCAATATCCCGCCCAATAAGCAGGCGGGGTGGGTTCGAATAAAAAACCCGTGTAGTGACAGAGCCAGGCTCGGAATGTGCGGGTGGAGCGTGGTGGGGCGTGGCGGGGCGTGGCGCGGTGGGCGCTGGGTACTCCCTGATGTTGTTGTTGATGCTGGTCGGCGCGCCGCCGCCCCGCCGCCCGGTATCGATTTCGGCTCTGCTTGCACGGGTGTAGGCTGCTGCCGCTGCTGCCGCCCGCGCGGCGCCGAGGCCACGGAGCGTCTCGCCGTGCTGGGGCCCCAGCCTGTCTGCCGGCCTGCCCCCTCGCAAGGCCCCACGGCTCCAGCCACCGCGCTGGAGGAGGAGAAGGGTACCTTGTCCTAATGGATCGCTTTGTTTGTCCCGCAGGATGGCTGCCGCCGCGCTCCTGTGGCTGGCGCTGCTGGCGCTCGCCGCCGCGCCCCTCGGCGCCCAGGGCCGCATGCCGGGCTCGGGGCCCCTGGAGCGGCACAACAACCCCCTGATTGACGAGGCCGGCCGAGGAGGCCATCACAAGCACAACGCGCGGAACGCAGGTGAGTCGTCATCCCCAGGACGCTAAAATAAAACTGGCCACCGTGTGAGGTTAGGATGGCTCATTGCCGTCAACGGGTTTCTTTCTTGAAGACCTCACCGTGAGCAGATCCTGCTCCTCCCGGGATCGGGGTACAGTACGCCGGGAGCGCGCGGTGGAAGCCCCCGGCAGGGTAGGCAGCGCGCTGGACCTCCCCGCCCGCGGGCGTGCCCACCCGCCCGCCCTCCGGCGCTTCGAGCCCCGCCGCTGCCGCACCCGCACCACCCGGCCGCACCCGCCCGCGTCCACGTCGACGCTCTCGGCGGTCAGGGCGAGCGCCGACCTGCGTCTGCGACTGGCGTCGGCGCGGGGCCGGGATAGGGTACAGAGAGATGGGGTAGGGCGCGCTTTAGAGTGCCCGGGAAGGCAAAGTAGTGGCGAAGGAAGGTGGGACGCGTTGCCTTCCAGGAAGTGAAAGATAAACGACGCCGGGCGTTATCTCGGCGGGTGCGATGCCAGCATGAGCGCGGTGCTGCGCGGCGCTGCGCCAGGGGCCGGCCGAGCCAGCATAGCCAGCGCACTGCACACTGCGTACGAGCCGCACAGTCTCGATGCTGCACCCAGTTTTTATTATTTAAAAAAAATCCCCACAAGTAAGCGGGAGACAAGGTAAGGTAGCTGTTGTCGTGAGAGCTGCGCGCTGCGGCGCTCGGTCGCGTGTTCGGGGCCTCGGCGAAGGGGAGGGCCGCGGTCGCGGCTCACCAGTGCCATGGGTTTTACATAACCCCATGATCTCCGGGCGGGGCGGGGCGTGAAGCTTATCGCTATCAGTCACACCGTTTGGTCCACAATGGAGGCACGTTTGTTATTCGGTGTGCCG